CTACAGGCGCCCGCCACAACGCCTGGCCATTTTTTGGTTGCAGCCATCATTGTTGTTTGGCGGGCCCGGGCTGGGGATTCGAACCCGCCACCTTATATGTGGCTGGTGCCTTAGCTGCTTGAGCCACAGGCGTCGAGCCTGTCCAGAGGCTTCTTATTCCTTCCCTTAGAGCAGGCATCCTCAAACTACGGCCCACGGGCCACATGCGGCCTGCATAGGACATTTATCTGGCCTGCCGGGTGTTTTTGCCGCTGCTGCCTGTCCTGCTTAACAGCTGACTCGTCCCGGGACCCACAGTCCAGCCCTCCAATGGTCTGAGGGACAGTGAACTGGCCCCCTGTTTAAAAAGTTTGAGGACCCCTGCCTTAGAGTGAGTGAGTAGTCTTTCTTGTTTCTGAAATTGGTTTAAATTGGGTCTGGTTGGGCAGTGAACTACTGTTGATACCACTTGGAGAACTAGGTTTGGAGTAGGACCTGTAACCATTTCCAATCCTGTTCCAATTCTGAAAGGTCATGTAGGGTTAAGAAAGGGCTTTGCCTGAAATTTCAAGTATGGGCAGGCCAGGCTTCTATTATTTTATCATTTTAATCATGCATTGCTCCCGGTGATTAAAACATGAGTATTTGACCCAGCATCTTCACTAATCTGTGCACTTAACACCGTGTTACAGGTTTCTGTTGTGGTTGAAAGCTTTATTGAGACAGAATGTGAATGTTGAAATTACTTCCGATTGATGTCTGCAAGTGGCTTGCGTGAGTTCTGTGGTGAAGAATTTGGCTGCATAACCCACAGCATCTGGCTTCTGATCCAGCTTCTCTACCCGCCTACGGGGCTGGGCAAGTCAGTGACATTTTGGGGCCTCCATGTTCCCATCTGTGACATGGGAGTTGGGGCAGCCCTGCTATGAAAGTTAAGCTGAGTTAATGTAGCGTGTATAGAGCCCTCAAAAAGTACTGCCACTGTGTGGACGGTGATGGTGGTGGTGGGAACATCTGATGTCTGCAGTCATGACTCAACGTATTTGCTTCCATTTACTCCTTTATTTTTCATATCTGTGCTGTTTGCAGACTTGGCTGGACTCCTTTATTTGGCACTAGAGCGTTTTATCTGCTGTATATAGTTGTTTCAGGTCTAAGCGGGTAAAAAAAGTAATGGTGTATACTAATAAGGACAACTGTTACTGAGCCCTCCCTCTGTACTAGAGGTCTCTGTCCTCGTTCCTTACAGCAGCCCTCTCAGGTGAGTACTTCCCCCCATTTTGTAGATATAGAAATGAGGCTCAGAGATCTGAACTAAGTACTTTGCCTGAGGTCATAGCAGGTGGTTGGTGGATCTGAATTTGCTCCCATCTTCAGAGGCCACACCTAACCCATGTGGGAATCAGCTTTTTCACTCTTAACACTGCATACCTGTTTGAGTACCTTCACATAAGAGGTTGTGCCTGCTCAGAGTGGAAAGAGTCCTGCAGGTTCAGCATCTTGCTGGCTAGGTGCTTTGGGGTAAGTCATTTCACCTTGACCCTTAGTTACCCTATCTGTAAAGTGGGACGACACTTGCCGGTTAGACTGCTGGGGAGGTAAAGTGAGAGAACATGTATACAGCACACAAAAGCAGTTGGAAGCAGGTGTCCAGACTCTGCGATATCTAATTTTGGGTCCAGCCTCTTTGACCTTGGCATTCAATTCACTAGACTAGGCTCAACAAATTAAGTAGCACCTAGGCTCGGCGCCTATAGCTCAACTGGCTAAGGCGCCAGCCATGTACACCTAAGGTGGCGGGTTCAAATCCCCAGCCCGGACCCGCCAAACAACAATGACGGCTGCAACCAAAAAATAG